CCCCCCCCCCCCCCGCCATGCACAGTATAACAGTCTCCTCGCAAATGAACGCAGAAGCTTTCCTCCCCTCGCTTTTTTCGAGGGAATTTCAGCGCTGTGGTTAAGCTGATAATAATGTACGGTTGCTTCTGGCTGCCCGGTGAATTGCCAGGTACATTCGTGGAGGAGACCCTTCTCTTTCTTTTAAAAGCTAAAAAGTGCTGGGTTTCTACTGTTTTAACCCTTTCTTCGCGGGAACAAGGCAACGGCGTTTCCTACGAAGCTCATTTCTTATCCCCCCCCCCCTGGAAGAAAGCATTGATTTCATTCCTCTCCCCACACGGAAAACTGGAAGGCAAGTCTTTTCATGTACTTCAGCGTGCCGGCATGTATTGCACCGGCGACTGAGCTGAAGTCACCTTCAAATACCTTATAATTTATGCTCCCCTGTATAAGTGCCCGGCCAGCTTTCCCTGCCTGCATTAGCCCTGCACCTCTCCCCCCCCCCAGCATTCCCAAAGCGGCTGTTTTCACCCTCTCCCGGGTGCTGCTGCCACAGATGAAGCTCTGTTCGTTCCCTGTAGGATCCCTTTAGGATCTGCCCCTTTTCAAAAGGAATTCAACAGCCCCCGCCGTTGTTTCCGAGGATGATTTAGAAACAAAGGTCAAGTGTAACAGCTTTGCTCATCCGTGTAACCGAAATGGGGGAGAGGGCTCTTTCCCCACAGCTGTGCTCTCGCGTAGCCCGGTCAGCAGGAATCCTGGTACAGCCACATTTTAGGCTCTATTTCTTCACAGGTTTCTGTGCTTGCTGCGTTTGTTTCTATTTCTGCATCTCATCTCGGTACTGCTTTGTTTACTGCCTGCTCCTGGGCTGCTGCAGGGCAATCTCTGCTCCTGCCTTGGAGACTCGCTTTTCAGTTGGTCTGTGTCTCAATAAAAGCTCTCAAAAATATTTCGTTCCATCTCACAGGCTGCAGTTTTGCGTCTCCGGGTCCATATCGCTGTCGACATTTTCACAACTATGCGAATTCGTAAAACTGGACTTTTTGATGTTGCCAGACTACCGGGGTGGGAAAAAAATCACAAAAGTAATTTCTGAAACCACATCCGATATTAGAATCCTTTTTCGGTATAAAGCTGCCCTATTAATGAGACTTGCTTTATATTCCTTTCTCCTCGCTGAGTAAATGTAAGACCTTCTGCAGGAAAGCTGAGCCCCAGCTCAGCCCCGGCAGTTTTATCACCTACAAACCCTGTAAGGTGCACGTACTCACCAGCTGATTTATTTCTTTGGTTTCCCAGAGGCTTTTTGTAGTAACTATTAAGTTCCTGGGGCATCAGAGAGTAATTTTGGCTTTCAAAGTATCTAACTAGGAACTTCCATTTAGAATATTGTGTACCATAACTGGAGGGGCTTAGAGAGAAAACGCAGCAATAAAACCAAATCAAAACTACCTTTAAACCAGACTTAACATCGCCCGAGACTCAGCCGCTCACGTTACAGGCACGACCGTGGTGTGACACGTCCCGGCTTTAATCGTGAACTCCTGGCATGCCATGAAAGCCGGTATTTCTGACTACGCGGGGCATTTTTTCTCGGAAAAGCAGTTGTTTTCTTAAGCCGCTAACTAAACTTCGTCTCAGCGTAAGTTAAATGCCGGTGGAGCTCGAAACGGGTCTGGGATGAGGGTTTTTTTAGCGGCACAGGTGAAAAATAAGGGAGAAAGATGAATATTACCTGTCGGTGTTTACCTCTGCTGTAGCAGCGAATGGGAGAAATCCTGGTGGTAGCGCGGATTTCTGCTTTATAAGAGGAGAGCAGGGCACTGGTTGTGGAGAAGGAAAAAGCTTGGAGCATCCTCCAGGACATGCGGGAAGGGAGACGGGGAGCAACAGGGAGTGCTCTGGGTCACTTCACCTCGGGGACCTGCGGATTACGTTGCTCGGTTTGAATATTTCAGCTGGGTTTAGTGCTCTTTATACCGGGAATTTTGCGGGTTGTTTCCCCAGTCACGCATCCTGTGTGCCGCGCTGCTGCTTGGGTTAATGATCTCTAGATCCCTTGTGAACAGAAAGTGATAACAAAAGGGCGCAAAACTTCATATTTCACAGAGGTTTTTAATCAGAAAACACAGCAGTGTGACAGAGCGTATAGTAAATGTGACAGGCAGTTTCAGCAAATTACTTTTTACTTGAAAACGGTAGCAACTGATTTTGTGGGGCTAAAATATATATATTTTTTGGAAGAGTTAAAATCTAAACTAACGTATACCCCTCCTCTTTTACGTGCTGTTTTCAGTACTACTCATTCTGCATTGATTTCAAACCTTCTCTTTTGCGCAATTAAAATTGAGACTATTCAAAGTAAAGCACTTTACACTGCCCATCCGTCCAACAACTAGATCCTGTACAAATGTTAAAAGTTTCATTAAGAAGCTTTTTCCCATGTGGTGCTGAGTGTCGTTAGCTCCTGTTGTAGCTGGAGAGGTAAAGGAGTTCGAGTCTGATGAACACTCGCGGCTGTATTGCAATGGAAAATTTGCACTGGTTAAATTGTGTTTTACGTGCAAGCAATAACATAACTTCCCGACTATCAAACGTGCTGCTTCCTAAATGTCACCGTATTCAAATATTCCTGTTTTGTGAGACGCATCTATCGTTAAAAGAGTTTATTTCCAGGCAAAAGAGAGTAGTCGGTGGAAAGCAAAAATTTGGTAAAGAGCATCTAAACTGCACTCAGCATCCGAAGCAACCAGAAAACTCGTTGTGTTGCTGCCTTCGTGTCCTCTTGCCTCTGACAAGGGTTCTCTGCTGCTTGTTTTGAAACTAGAAAAAACGCCTCATTCAGCGCCCAGTAAACACGAACTACCAAACTGAGCTGTTTAAAACCTCTGGCAATCACGAAAACACCACTTACACTGTTTCTGGTAACTAAATTCAAAACCGGCTTGGTGAAAGTTTAAATACACAGAGGGGGAGAGTGTCATCTACATTCGGAAAGTAAGCGACCTACTTCTACAAGCTCTTGTTAGTGTCAAAACGCAGCTATTTCCCAAAGCCCCCAAGCGCCATCCCCTGTCCTCAGGCCAAGCACCCTTCGACTTTAAGCTCTGCTTAAAAAGGGTCCGGCGGCATTAAGCATGTGCATATGTAGCTCTTGTGTTAATGACTTAATACGAAAGACCTAAAATAAGTTGTAAAACGTGATACTGGAAAAGTAGGTATGAGCGACCGACAGACAGGCGGCTGGGTCTGTGAATATTTTGTAACTGGCAGGTGTAAGAAGTTGCTGGGAGCGTGGGTTTAGACCGTTGCCATTATCTAAAAACCCACCTCTAGGCTTAAGCTACCAGCTGTTCAAAAAGAAAAAATAAAATAGAAGTAAGGTTGCAACAAACGTTATTAGAAAAAAAAAAAAAAAAAAAAAAAAAAAAAAGAAAAAAAAGAGGAAAAAAAAGCAAAAAAGGCGGCGGCCGAAAGCCTTAACGTCCAGAGGAGAGCACGTCGGAGCCGGGCTTCAATCCATGGGTGCCGGGCAGCAGCGGCTGTCCTCCAAGAGCTTCACCACGGCGGACCTCTTGTAGAGCTTGGCCAGGTCGTAGGCGGTCGCCCCCCGCTTGTTGCGGTGGCCCACCTTGCAGTCGGCGCGCGCCAGCAGGGCCTCCACCACCGGCGCGTGCCCCTCTTGGGCCGCCAAGTGCAAGGGCAGGTTGCCCTCGGCGTCCTCCAGGTTGACGTCGGCCTGGAACTCCAGCAGAGCCTGCAAAGTGTCCGCAAACCCCTCTCTGGCCACGTCGTGGATGACGGCGAAGCCAGTACTGTCTTTCAGGTTGGGGTCGGCCCCGCTGAGGAGCAAACGCCTGGCGATTTTGGGGTCCCCGAGCTTCATCACCTGGGGAGGAAGAGGAAGAGTTGAGTGGCCGTCGGGGGGCGGGGTGGGGGGGTCCTTCTGCACGGCTCAAACCCCACTTCACGTGGGGGGGAGAGCCCCACTGCACCCGCCCCAGAAGTCCCTCTGTGGTGGGTGGTTTTTACTAAACCCGGTGAAATTGGGAGGGCTCTTATCATCTCGGTGGTAAGAGCCCTCTGCCCCAGAGATTCGTGGCTGAAATAGGTGGTGCAGAATGGGGATGTAATAACTCTCTTCTTTCCTTTTTTTTTTTTTAACGTGGGTTATCTCAGTTTCTTAACATACGAAAATTAAGCCTGGTTCGGTTTTATTTGCCTAAGTATTGAGACACCCCTGCATTACTGTTTAAGCTCGTTAAACATCAGATATAGGGTCTCTGAGGAACAGATATTTTACCTCAGCAACAGCAAAAGTAGAACGTGTTTCTATAAGCTCTCAGGTGTTTACATTGTCTGTGCATTATCATAAAACAAATACTTGCACTGTACCATAGCTCTGTCTGCTAAGAAAAATAAATGCCAGCAGAATTTTTTCTCCCCAATATTTGTGTTTCATTATGTCACCCAAAAAGGAGAAGTCAAAAGGAATGTTTCCAAGTTCCAGAAGCTTTCTTCTAAAACCAGTGTATTGTATTATACTTTCATAATTTCACTATAAGTAAACTGTGGCTATATTCTGTCGTTAAAAACATCCCTTTTTTAAAAAAAAAACAACAACAATAATTGGATTTTGTGACTGTTTCTCTCAGGAAAAAAAAACTTCTTTCAATTTTCTCGATTGCGTCATAAAACTATCACAATTAGAACGCAAATGTCTCTTATTTGGGACTTAACAGCTTGCACCGATTTCCCCCAAATTCCTCAATTTTTGTTTGCACAAAGACTTTCAAAAATGAACACGCTAATGTGTAATCTCCAGCCTATAGGCAATATTTTCCTGTCCTTGCAATTAGTCTCACTGTAAGTGTCAACTTCGGGGGAAAAAAAAAAAAAAACAACCCCAAAAAACCCCAACCTTTTTTATTTCCTTAGAAACATCCACACATTGATTTGAAAATCTTGCTAAAAAAAATTATCTGCATAAACGAGCATTACAGTGCATTGCATTTAGCATAATGTACAATTTCTACAAGGGATTTGCTGAAAACCTCTCCTGGTGAAAATACATATTAGGCTTTTTAAGAAAAGCAAGCTAAAATAAATATAATTAGCACAGCGTTTGGACTGTAAAGCAGCCCAGTGTATTATATCTACAGACAAGAGCAGAAGTGCAGATAAGACAGGCTGGGATTCAGGGAAAGGGATTTCTCTGTGCCTCAAGGCTTCCAGCTCCTCATGTGCCATTTCTTTCACTTCTGACCAGAGATGGAAGCGATGTAAAAGAAAACAAGAGCATTGTGATCTCTCTTTCTTCAGTAAAATCTGGACATTTTGATCTCTTTTTGAGAGCCCCGGCTGTATTATTTGTGAATTCAGAGCATGTATTTGGTTTAAGTGGGAGTTTTCTGTGCTCAGGCTAGGGGACTGAAGGCTTCAGTTAGAGATGCGGGGGGGCGGGGGAGAAAAATCATATAAAAGGTGATGCTATTGGGACGTGGGCTACAACTGTGCAGCAAATGCCCTTTCTTTTGCAAAGTTTCACTCGGGGGGAGGGAGGCAGAGAAGGAGAAAGCCTTAATTGAATAAGTCTGACGAAGAGCACAAGGGCAGGACATGTATTTGAGGCCTGCATAGGTACACTTCATCAGAAACAAAAAGTACAGAGCAAGACGAGCTGAGCAGCTGCTTAATTAAACATAAATGCTGAAGAAAAATATAAATTCATTGCTATTAATATAGGAGCCTCCTCTCCGTTTTAATTGAGGGAGAGATTATGGAGAGATTATCTCAGTTGTGGAGAGTGCACTGACAGAGAGCTCTTTCGAGCGTGGTCATGCACCCACAGCACATTTCGGGATGATACATATTGAAAATAAGTCGACAGATTCTCCTGTTTTGATTTTTGTTGTGGTTCATTAACTCAGTTACCATTAGGCAGCGATCAGAAGTATTGTTAGGACACGGATGCGTGTTTAATATAGCTGGATGCTATGTCATTGTGTAAAATATGCCTTAATTCAGGATACGGACAGTTAGCTGCTTCTAGACAGAAAAATAAAATACATTACTGTAGGACAAATCGGTTTTCAGCCCTCGACCGGAGGATAAACCAGCGAGCTAAATGTTTCCTGCTTTCTTAAAGAAGTTACTTTGTGTAAGTTTTTAATTTAAATCCTTTCACTCTCTCAAAAGTTGCTGCAAGTGCCTGCACTGCCATGCGATGCCCTATTTAGGTGCTAACAGGACAGAGAGGAGCTCACAGACCTCCAGCTCCAGCGAATTTGTCAAAAAGGGGTCACTCCTGCTTTTTTAGCAAGAGGTACTTCTTTTCCAGCCCTTACATTTTGATGCGAAGCCAAAAAGCTGTAAATATCTCGAGTACATTCGCAAGCTCTATGCTCTTTGAAAACCCAATTTCAGAAATTACTGTCGTGGTTTCGGGGGAGGGGGGGAGAGGAGCTAACAAACGATTTTTCTAATGTGGGAAATTAAAAAGACCTATAGCTCCACTTCCATGTTTCATTACTTATACCTTAAGTACAAATCACCACACTTTCCCCCCCCCTCCGGATTTCTAAATCACTTCTTTCACTATTCGGTAGGTATTCTAGCCTCTTCGCCATCATTATCTGATATTATGAAAAGCAAAATCTTTCATCAGCTCCAATAGTTAGCAGTTGGACGAGTTCCAACTCCTGCCTGCACAGCCACACACTTAAAAAATTAGGACATAGCACCCTATACGATCAGAAAGGAAATAGCTGGAACCGGTGCCCTGCTAGCCGATCTCAAAAAGCAAAATTTGTCAGCCTGAATTCTGAATGGAAAAGCAAGTGGTTCAGCTGGAACCCTGACTCGTAGGGCTCCCTCTTAATGTACATCGAAGGTCCTCGGTTCTGAGCAGCATGCTTCCCAACGAGAAAGGTCATTCCTCCCAAACAGCGCGTAAAGGAAAAGTACCGTCTACAGCCGAAACCCAGAAGCGAGACAAGTCACGCTTGGAAAGCATATCGCAGGGAAAAAAAAAGAAAAAAAAAAGAAAAAAAGATAAATCCTAAGCTTCAGCGAACAGCACGTTTGTGTTTACAGACCTGCTATGAAATCCTGCTCACCTAAGCTGATTTCTTTTCATCTCAGCTCTTTCATTCCTTGCCTCCTCCCCACGAAGTTACAAAATATTAGCAAACTCGTAGCCCGTCTGACATTGAGGGTGATCCCCGACTGAAATAATGGTTTTGACCAGTTTTATTTCAAGTACGTCATTTTAGGGAGTTGGAGCCACTAAAGTTATAAAATATGGCATCCAACGAGTTTGAAAAACCACTCGAATTTCATCCACCAGCCTGTTCAAAACGTTGTCTTTTTTGGAAACCCGGGTCACGTAGGTACCAGTGATGAAATATTTTCTCCCTCTCTGGATACCAACCTGCAGCGCAGTCCTCCCAAATCCATTTTGTGCATTGACGTTTACATTCTTTTGCAACAAATTAGTAAGTTGCACTAGGTCCCCCTTGGCAGCCGCGGACGCCAGCTCGTTCCCAGAAGGCTCGGCCATTCTTTAGGGTGACTGACGATCGGAAAAAAGATGAGATTTTTTTTTTTTTTTTTTTTTAACCAGGCATGGCATCGGAGACTGACAGAAGGATTGGGATGGTTAATCTTCTGGAGTAGACCTTGTAGTAAATACTCGTAAAAAACCTCCTTGCCAAGAGCCCGCCCCTAACTCACACGTGATTATTCAGCAAAACTGCAGCTCCACTTGAAAGAAGATTTCTTCGCTTCCACATATAGAGCAACTCCTATTAAAGACTTTGGCCACTTTCGGGGGGGGGTGGGGGGTAGACTAATAGCTACGCGACATATTATATATGTTAGAGGTAACGTATATATACACGTACACCGGAGACTCACTCAGACCCGAGATCTTTGAAGGAGAAGACAACCCACCCTGTTCACAGTCGGGATCGGAGACTTAGCAGCAGCAGCAGCAGCTCCGAGGAAAAGTCTTCCGTAGCAGTGTCCGTCCAAGTCCCGCTCGGGATCCCCCCTTTCATCCCACACCGCCGCCTCTAGTCCGGGCCGAGCAGGGACGAGAAGGACGAGCCGCGCCCGCGGAGGGCCGGCCGCGG